ATGTTCGCAGTCTCCTTTCGATTTATAGAAGTGGGTTGACCTCGTTGTTGCTACTTGGTCTTATTGTCAGGGCGACTATGTAGAACGCACCTAGTCCGAAGTCGTCTGCCATAGTAGTTGTCATGAGACCCAGCATCTCACAGTGGACTTGATACATTCTCAAACGTCGAGGGATTGACTTCACTTGTCTCTTTGACGAGTTCATAACTTGGTGTGGAGAATGGCAAAACTAACTTATTCCCAAAATTCTGTGCTCCCATTTCCTCCAATGCTGCCTAAGAGGGTGTCGCTACAAGTGGGTTTAGTCAAGTGTAATCATCTCCACCACCCGTACCAGATGCCGTTTGCATGAATCCTAACTTTCCTTGTGCCCCCTCTTGTTTTCTTACCCGCTTGCCAATTGGCTGCTGCTAAACATGAAAGTGTGACCGTTTCCGGCAGAACACTTGTTGTCGAGGGATTGACTTCACTTGTCTCTTTGACCAGTTCGTAGCTCGGTGATGCCGACTACGAGGCCGGCGTGACGAGTTCGTAGCTTGGTGCGGCGAATGGCAAAACTCACTGATGATGCCGACTACGATGCCGGCGAACACATCTGATTGTATCAAGTCCACTGTCAGATGCTGGGAATCATGACAACTACTATGGCAGACGACTTCGGACTAGGTGCTTTCTACATAGTCACCCTGACAACAAGACCAAGTTCCGACAACGAAGTCGACCCACCTACTATAAATCGAAAGAAGACTGCGACCATACCAGAGGCCACAACATATTGGTCTTCATATACTCAATGAGAGTTACTTAAATCTGGCTGCCTAAGAACCTTTCATTCCCGTCCTCGATTACGCCATATTCGAGGAGTTAGAGCAGATGATGTACATGTCAGTGCTTGGGAATCCTCCTCTCTATCGGCTTCAAACCCGTGACTCAATTATCCTCTCCCTCACTCTCATACGCATTGTGCCTCATTCTGTGGGGCCCTGCGTCAGGCTTGAGTCATAATCGCTGGTGTGAAATGCACTTTTGCCCCTTTTTCCTCTTACATCGCGAGAAACACACTCCTCTCGTCTCTCAAGTTAACATTCCCATATAATGTTAGGGTACTTGGGTGATGTCCCTGTGTATGTGTTGGCTGGTATCCTCTGTGTCCAAGCGTGCTACCAGTCACCTCTCCTTCAGACACATAAACGAAAAATACACACAACACGTTCGCACACACACTGGTGACCTCTTTCTAGCCCACCTATACTTTTATCCTTTACTTTCATATCCTATCTCACAAGTGGAACCCGCTGAATACTTTCTATTTGGCTAATCCCACGTTTGACTCCTCTCACTGCAGTCGTCTTTTCTTCACTTCCCTTTGTCCCTCATGAGCCGCCTCTTGGTGATGTCTCTTCCTGTTGTTTCAACAGTTGCTCTGGGCCCAAGAGTCTTCTTTTTGATGCCAACACTGAATCTCCAAGTCTGCGAAATTATCGCTGACTCTTCCCTCTTCCAATCTCCTGTACATCAGGCTGCTTTGAAATAGGATGTCCACAGCCTGCTTGGTCTTTCTTTTCCTGGTGTTTTCATCGTGTGAAACCAGTCTTTCCGTTGAATTCCCGTCAATTGTGTGGCCGGTAAGGCCGATATGTTGAGCTATTTCGGATCTTCCCGTATCCATTTTTCTGTATAGTCGTTGGTAGTCCTTGATCCTCGTGCTGACTCTCCTTCCCGCCTCTCCGATGCATTTTTGTTCACAGTCCTTGCAGGTTATGCTGTGAACTCCGGAGCACTCCATTTTCTTGAATTCTTTATGTTGCGTCGGCAAGCTGGATTGTACCAATGTTCCATTTCTCAAATATTGGCCGTAGCTTTCGAGCCATTTCGCAGGAGGGTAGACAAATCTGTCGTTTTTCCTCAGTTCCTCTTGCTTTCCTTTCATAAGCTCCTTCTTTCCAACTGTTCATCACCGTCCGGATGTTGCGTTGTATTACTTCTTCTTGATATCCATTTCCAAGAAACATCTGAGTTAGTTTTCTCAGTTCCTCTTCCCAGAATTCAGAATCAGTGAG